TGCCTTAAGTTGTCATAAACTAATGGAACCGTTCATATTTCTGAAATCTTTATTCCATTTATACATTTCCATCATATTCAAGGTTTCCATGACATCACGACTTCAAAAAGAAGCAATGTATGAACAGACGCTTCACTGAGTTTGATACAAAGCCCATAATGCCCATATATATGACATACTCGGGGCAGAATACAAATGTCGACTTAAGACGATCGGATGTTCAGAGCTGAGCGCTCGCAATGAAGTCTAAACCAGTGAAGTGTTTTCGTGGCAAGAAATATATATATTCAGGTAATTTTACACAAGCAATCATGGCAGACAATAGATCCCACCGCCCTCGCTCCTTCCTCAATGGCAATGATTCGTTAACGTGGGTGATCTTCTTATGTGCGCTTTTGCATACGTTTTTTATTCTCTTCACCAAGTGGAGGTAGATTATGAAAAAAGGAACCAGATAGATAATATGAATGTCAGTGTTGATTATGGAGAGGAACAACTTTTATGGGTACATAACTTCTTTAATGCAGCAGATGCGACATTGCGGTGCAGATGCTAACGCCATTAAAAAGGCAAGTTAGCATCTACACCGAAACATCTGTCTATTGCAAAAAGAAGTTGTCAACCAATAAAAGTTGTTCCACATAAAAACAATCTTCCTCAACATCAATCCAGCTTCTACATCCAATATAAAGAAAGTTGATTGTGTTAATGGCTCTTTACTTCTGGACGGTAAAGAAATAAGCGTCATCCTGGCGAAGCGACACGTCAAATTGTCAAGAGATGGCTCACTCAACGATCACCCCGCAGAGACCCTTGCTTGTATGAAGTTAAACAGAATGTTCCGGTCATTCTGGATATAAACTGTCAATGTATGATGTTGTACCCTAATGTAAATTCGAAATGAATATTATGCAATGAATTTCATGAAACTGTCCAACAACTTTTTAATGGCTGTCCATGCAATTGGCGACATATCTATATTCAGCGACGAGATGGTGTGACACGATCGCCATTCTCGTGGTCCTCACTTTGAGGTTCATCCATAGTACCATCTAGGCTCTGTAGGTGGTGTCATGGAAAATGGTTACTTCAAAATTGTTTGGAACAGGCCCCAATACACCTTCAGGCAAATCTCACGTTGCTTTCTGAATCCAGTGAACCATGTACCTCAGTGAATTCATTTTTTACACTAATGTGATTGGTAAGATTCAGTAAAAACGGATAGGGGAAGTTCACTCACAAAATGTCACTTGAATCTTAAGCATCAAACTGTTTGACTCCCCATTGTTCTTGGCGTCTTAGGTTAGGTACATCCCATTTGGTTGGCTGTCATTGGGAAAAATCATAGGTTCGCAGCCTCTTGACATTGTCGGTAATGCAGAAGCCTACATAAGAGTCATATTCTGGAAATAATGCTTTTAGAGTTAGGTTTAGAGAGGACGTGTTGTAATATGATGATAACCCTAAACCGACCTGACTACCAGGATGACCCGAACACTTTTTGTTTGATGCATTTTTTTAAAAATTGTAAATGATAATGTAGTTATTTACAATGTACCAAATACACACTTTGGGGCATACATTATCGCTTTTGTTAATGGATAAGTATGCACTCGACATCCACTCCAACACTGCTGGGGAATGTACTGCCTGTAAGCCCCTTCATTACCACCTCATCCTCCGGGTACCCATGGCCTACTTAACATTTCCTAATCAATGTTGCTTGATGCCGCCTGATGTGTAACCTGTTCATAAAGAACATGCCAAATTCGTTGTTGCATACTAGAATATGATGACTGACTGACTGAGTTTGGTTTTACGCCGCTTTTAGCAATATTCCAGCAATATCACGGCGGGGGGACACCAGAAATGGGCTTCACTCATTTTACCCATGTGGGGATTCGAACCCGGGTCTTCGGCGTGACGAGACAACGCTTTAACCACTAGACTACCCCACCGCCCCAGAATACGATGAACGTGCATCACAGTGTAAAATGAAAGTCTAGAACGTGTGCGAAAATTGCATTGTCCCTTTGGAATAAGGGTTTGCAGGAATTACCAGATTAAACTTATTGTATTGTATTTTACTTTACGTATTGGTTACACTGAAGATAAATTAAAAATGAAAACAAGACAGGAATCTTAATTGTCATCTAATTTCTAATTGTATTTTACTTTACGTATTGGTTACACTGAAGATACATTAAAATATAAATCAAGACAGGTATCATAATTGTCATCTAATTTCTTAATTTATCTAGAACATTGGATCATTAACAGCTGGCAAATAAGTCAGTATGAAAGCTTTTATTCAAACAAAGTAGCGCAGTGTGCACAAAATATTTTTTTTTAAACCCACTGAAATTGAATCAGCTGAGGGATGAGCATGTTCAACCTCTGGAGTTGACGTTTCTTCCTTAAGGTCATGATAAATAGGTACGTTCATGGCAGGGCCGGGTCCGGAGTCCTACTAAGACATGTTGGCTACATCGCTGGAAGGTAGGAAAGACCTGAAGTGCAGGCGTGGCTCGTAATTCATCTGATAATGTACCATAATAACCAAATATCCAATAAGCAATGTAAGTTACATTATAGATCCTAACACTGAAGAACATGTGCTCCTGTTTACATTTTGACTTAGGTTAAATACTAAATACGTACTTAATTAGAGTCCTTATTAAATAAGTAAATCCTGATTACATAGTTTGTTCGTAGATCTTGGTTACACAGTTAGACTGCCTTCAATAGTGATGTTGATAACATAAAATATCCTTCAAATCATAGTCTCTACCCAGTATAGCACAATAGATGTGTATTAACGGGAAATCTTTCTTGCCCACTCCTCAAATAGCAAGTCTAAATAAATTTATTTATTAATTTATTTCCTCCAGTCATGTGTATCTCCACGTTTATATCATAATATATAAAACAATAACTTGAGGCGATAAAAATGTGTTATTCCGATGCAGGATGAACGAACTGCATCTGGGTAGGACACCGGGCAACCCATCTAACTATGAACCTTGCCACAGCAATTGACCCATTAATATTTCAGGGGATTGGCTTGTCTGAACAATATCTCCATGTCAATGTCGATTAATGTTTCCGGATATTAATTCTAATTTGATGACTTCGTGCAAAGTGAAATGAACGTATCATTATGCATGGACGGTGTATTGATTAACTGAGCTTCTCGATCACCGCATGTAGCCTTGAGAAAAAGTATTCCTGACCGTACATTCTCTTTCCGTTGATGTCATAGATGTGTTGGAAGCACTATGCAGCCGGAAGAGATGAGAAAAACACAGGTTCCATATCATGGCTTCTTTAATGGTTGAAACGGCGCCGTAAGTCAGGTTTGGTAGTTGTCCTAACATCTGAGAATATTGGAAAAAATGTGAAAGTTCCCGGATTACATTTCTAACTCATCCACGGTGCCAGTGTGACAATTCTCCGCCACCATGCTATGATTAAAATGATTAAAATGAAACGTTACGTTATTCCGCGTGGCGTGTAACCCGCCAACAGCTTCTATGTCCACAGGTTAGCTGGAGGTTCTTTTCAGATTTATAATGTTATTTCTGAAATGAATTGGAAGAATCAATCTGAGATCCATCCTTCTCATCTTCCTCCCTTGTAGTACTGTACTCTGAAAAGCGGAAGCGGAAAGCCTTCTTGACTATCTGACAAAAAAGGATTCCATTTGACGTAGGAGGCAAAACCGCTGAGCAAAGTATGGGACTGGATCACTCAAAATGTGTAATGGTATTTGCTGGCAAAATGGGTAGGCATCTCTGTCCTACCGATAGCAATCGTCACTCACTCATTTTCTGTTTGACAGTATTGATTTGTACAACAGCACCCCTGTCATGCAACGGTGAAATGCAAACAAACTAGACACTGAAGTGATACAGTAATAAGAAGTGATAGTGCTTCATTTGTTTCTGGTTGTTTTGGGTGCATCACCTGATTTTAAATTATCTGTTGTAATACCTTTGAGCCTTCTAGGTTCCTGTGCATTCGGTCTGCAGCTGTGGGAGTACCGGAGAGACAAAGGCAATGGAAAACATGCGGAAGTTCATCTCATTTTTGTAACGACTTAGCAATACATTTTAGGTCGAATTAAGTGTAGCATGGGTTACACTGTCGTTGCAAGGAAAAACATATTTATTTAATCTGATACATTTAAGAACATAAAATTGTAGCATTGATGGTAGCATGAACTATACTGTCGGTGCAAAGACATATTTATTCAGTATAATGCATTTATCAAAAGCTACTGCTGCGTTGAAATCGATATGGCAAGAAATGCGACAATTTGAAGTTCTGACGGTATTGCAAAATAGGCCAGTAAAGTATTTCTACTTCTATTACTTTTCTTTTAGTCCAGCTTGTGGATGTGTAATTTATGTCATCGATTACACTAAGTAGCAATATCTTATAATATTAAGAGCCTAACCCAACAACTTCATTGTGTAGCATCAAACGGCATGCATACTCGCTCTCCTTACTAACTTGACTGAACATTCTTCGTTAATGGAAGTGTTTCACTCTCCTCATTTCCAACCATGTGAAAAGTTTAACATGTTAACAAATCATAAATTATCCAATGCTCATATGAAAGTTTCTAAAGGGAGAGGGGCGGTGGAGTAGCCTAGTTGTTAAAGCGTTTGCTCGTCACGCCGAAGACCCGGGTTCGAATCCCCACATGGGTACATTGTGTGAAGCCCACTTCTGGTGTCCCCCGCCGTGCTGTTGCTGGAATATTGCTAAAAGCGGCGTAAAACCAAACTCCCTCAGTCAGTCTAAAGGAAGATCATATTTTACACTGACGTATTTTTCTTTGTTCAACAAAATGTAAAGGTTCAGGGTGACATGTTCGTGCCATCATCGTTAAACCAATCTGATCTAATTTAAACTTTAAAAAAACGAATTTGATATTTTTAATATGATTTTAGAGACAACTGATCATCTCGAGATCTTTATGAGTCGGCAAGGGACAGTTAATGACTAGATAAATCCAGACGGAATCATCTTTTCTGCACCCTGGTCAAGTTTCAACAGTGGATGGAGTCTGAGGAAAGGAAGGCTGAAGTTGAGCTCCAGTTGCCTTCATATATACGCATCCTTTTGAAAATTAATGCCTCCGTGTGAGACTGATTGTGTCAACACCACTTTCACACCTTCGTCAAAACTGAGATTATACTAGTGTCTTTTTATACAGTTTCTGTGCCATGGGATGCACGGTTCGTGTGGAATACTGCCGATGTGACTACCAAGCTAAACTCACTCACTCACCCAAGGGGCAACTGGGTTGCAATATAAGGTCTATGTCCCTTACACGTATTGTGAGTTAGAATCCTAAATTTGACTTAACTGTTATCAGTTGTCCATCAACACAGTGTCGTCCTGAGAGTTTGAATCTGAAGATTTGATCCCCAAGGAATATTTAAAGGGCAAATCTGAAAACGGGTCTAATCTGAAAGAACGTAAAACTGTAGTGTATTCAGAGCAGCAAGCATGGCAAAAATAGAATAATTTTGTAGTGCTAGTAACTATATTGTCGTATGACGTTAACCAGGGTGGTCATACCACGGTACCTTTTCTTCCTGTATGGACCCTAGATTTCTTCAGTCGCTGGCTATAGTTTTGAATTGTAACCAAAATTCAAATGCGATATAACTAAGTTTAAAAAGCAGTGGGAGATAAAATATACCTTGACTGATTTGGAGCTCCTATGCCCCGTCAGGGGGCCAAAACCTTTACGATATTTCAACCACCTTGAATGGTGCAGCTACAAACAATCTTAGTTATCAACTATTCCACCAATCATACAAAATCTGTTATCATATATACAAGACATATAAGTCAGAATCTGTTTTGCTCCACGGGGGTGCAATTTATGTGACACATTTCTGGTATACCCTTGTGGTAGATAATGAAAGAGTACAAAAACAATTGTGAAAATTTCGCAAGTGCAAACAAAACTTCGTGTCATGGGACCATGCCTGTAGAGCAACCCATGCTTGTAAGAGGCGACTAACGGGATCGGGTCGTTAGGCTCGCAGGCTTGGTTGACACATATCATCGAATCCCAATTGCGTAGATCGATACTCGTGATGTTGATCACTGGATAGTCTGGTCCAGACCGCCGCTATATAGATGGAATATTGCTTAGTGCGGCGTTGAACAACAAACCAACCAACGCCAAATTTTGGCAAATAAATAACGTACTGCCCTTGAGGTAGTGTTCGCGTGGCTGGCGTTCACTCAGGTTGTTTGGTAAAACAAACTGATTAAACCATGCTGTTATATCATACATGCGGGTCTGAGTCTGCATTCAGTGCAGAAAAGCAAGATATCCTGATGAATAACGTTTCACTAAATGACCATACACACAATCGCTGCAGTCTTATTAGAGTTGTGCTTGGATGACCTCAAATCAGTCTCAATCCCTTGAGATCCTGACTCTTCACCCGTTGGCTGTGAGATAACCTGACACGAACGAAAACAAATCAGATTACACACTTAGAAATCCTCGTTTGATTTTACAGATGACAAATTCAAAGATTATCTTTCAGACAGTGAAAGAGTGCAAAAAAAACCAACTTGGTTTCAAGGGAACCCTTTTTAACATGAAAGACGTGGTCTGTTGTAAGTTGAACATTGGCTGTGTTCTGAAAGATTTTGTGCACTGACTTCTTTTAAAACAACCCGTCAAAAGATTACGCAAACGAATCATTAGCACAGGTTAGAGTAGGAATCAGGACTTTAATAATAGTATTCAGACATCACAAACTATCAGAAAGTTTCTATGAATATTACGGCTCGGATCTTGTGAACTCATCAGCACGATATGTGGTAATAGCTGGGCGGTTGCATGTGTATTGGCTGACTTATACATCTACAAGAAAGAAAGAGTAAACGTGACGTGAAATAGTTTTGTTTAGTGTTTTCAACCAAATAATCGATTCTTTGTACAAGCTGTATTTCTCACTAAAAGGAAGACCGGGCTGTATTATGATGTGGTCTGCATTTGAATCAGATGGGTTTTTTATCTTTGTGGTCCGTTCATTTCCATCAGGAGCTGTCAAAATGAAACTACATCACTTAAAAGAATTTCTCAATTGTACTTTCTACTTCGCATTGTACGTAGCGCCGTGAGCAGGCAGTGTGCCTGGATGTGAGCGCCATATAAGCGGACAATTACTATTAAAATTTTACTTTCGCCTCTACGTTTTTTATATTTTTTACAGTTAGTCATTGACTGGTTAAACATCACTTTAAATGAACTGTTTACAATGTGTGCCAAGTATTGTAACGAGTTTATGAAACACGCTTGGAACAACGGAATAATGAGTCTATTACTTTGGTTTTCTTTACTAACCCTACCACAAATATCATTTGAATACCTCCATTTCATGCGTATAATAAGTCTCGACATCATAAATATTCCCACTTCATAGCAAACGATCTGGTAAACAATGTTAAAAGTCATGAATGTTAACACTATTACCAGCTTCTATCCGAACGGTTCAACAATCTTTATAAGCCTGTCTACTTTGGCTGAAATGAGTCCTTTAAGCATCAACACAGGAATTCCAGCCAGAATGTAGTGCGTGATCATCTGATCATGTCATAAACTTAGAGTCAACACTGCCGAGCATGTTCCATTAGCTGGGAGTAGTTACAATTCACTTCAGAATGATCCTCGTAATCAGTAATTTTAGTCTGTTAATAACTGAAGGAATCAAACGCTAAACGGTGTCTTTATAGGCGAAGTCTTGAAAATGACGGAAAGTTAGTGAAATGGGAATTTAGTTTGAATGGCAAACATATTCCGTATATGGATGAAAGAAATATGTGTACGTTAAAACGAGGGACCAGTTGCAAGTATCTGCCTGATTTCTATGTCTCAGAATAACAGCTTCGCAAAAAGAGCCAATGATGCTTGAGATGTGCCATAAAACACGATCTCTCGACTCCTTGAAATCGCGCCTCTGTGTCGTGGGATGACAGCATGACACCTTTGCAATGATGCAAACGGGAATGATAATGGGAATGGTCATTATTATGTGTAACCCGACATGTCACAATATCCCAACTAGTTGACGTCTGCCCGTCTGTCTTTATTCCAGACAGAGACATTCGACAATATCCCAAAAAGTTAACATTTGACCGTCTTTGTTCAAACCAAGGTAATTATTATTATTGTGAGTAGTGCTGCATTCCACAATATCCCACTATTCGTGAAGATCCGGGTTATATCTTCATGCTTGTAAGAGGCGACTAACGGGATCGGGTGGTCAGGTGACTTAGTTGACACATGTCATCGGCGTAAAACTAAACTCACTCACAATATCCCAAAACGTTGACATTCCTCCGTAATTGTTCAATGCAAGGTAATTATCATTATTATGAGTAACTCTACATTTTACAATATTTGATCATTTGGCGTCTGTCAGTCTGTCTTGTTTCCAGACAAATTAAGGAACATTATAGAGAATGACCCTGCATTTTACAACATCAAACTTTTCTGATGCACACCCCTCTTTGTTCCGGACTAGGTAAAGATCATTTTTATGAGCGATGTCTTATACGGCCTGGTTAAAATTATACGTAATTACCCACCACTGAGTCTGTCCATCCGATCCTTCAGGATGTCTCCTCCTGCCAGCTCAGGCCCATTTATTAATGTGGAATCACTGTGGGGATTCTTTCTTTGTTTCTGATTATCCGCTATTGAATTCCTCAAACATTTAGTAGTTGACTGATGTATTTCATGGTCCAGTCAACCACGGTTCAGCTTACCCCAGGAGTCGTGTCCCCATGTTGACCTCTCCAAAGGTAATCAGTTCTCTACTGAAATCCGTTTATACGGTACTCAATTTCCTCTCGTTGCTGTCCCCTGTTTCAGCTCGTTCGCAATTCAGTTGCGATGTTCATCAGAAAGATCAACCAACCGTACATCGCCGCTGACAGACGCCGTGATTCTGATCAAGAGCTGGGACACGAGCTGCCAAAAAGTCAATTGTATGCCATTGTCACTGTGAACCCGAGGGCACTACGTCTCCTAATCAAACCTTGATTTTACCTGTGGTAAAATACATTTGTTGCGAATAAGGAGATGCGTCTCTGGTGGGACCGGCACCAGTGTATATCCTGTCTTCATCTCACAGTATAGTTTGACAACATAAGTATCTTACCGGAAAAACCTCATGGCACTTCTATGTCTTCAATAAGACAGATATTGGAGTGGACTGGTAACGGTAATACCTCAACGAGCATTCACATTCACAGCTTGTCACGACACAGTTACATTTATCAAGATAAATCGACAACTTTAAAATCAAGGATGAAGAAGAAGCACATTTCTACAGACTAGCGGGGTTTATTGTTACATTCAAGCAGTGGCACTACTCAGAGGAAACAACCGAGCATCATAAATATGTATCTCTGCAGAGCAAACATAAAAAACGTTCCTACAGTAATATCTGTTCATCCAGTATGTTCATGTCAATGTGAATTAAGTGTTGCTTGTTTCCACAATTGCATAACTGGCATTTGAACAAGGGTACGACTAATTGGCCTCTAATAGCATAACCTATATAGTCTGTAGATACTATGACATAACGGACATCATGTCCAGAGCAGATAGAAATCATTCCACTCATTAGCTATCATTAGGTGACCCGACAGTTTTAATCAGCTGTTAGCTGAGTGGCAGTCTGAACAACACTGTTACAAAATGCACGTCTTGAAGTTCCAATACGAGATATAAGCTTCGTGAAATAAATTAATCTAAAAGGTCAATTTTGGTGAGAAATGATACAATTAATCTATTGTGAAGTTTCAAAGTTGCACGTTGCAGTTCGGCCAGTGGTAAATTGTGTGAAGTTATGACATATCTGAAATTGTAGTTATGTATCTATATACAATATTAGATATATTGAAATACTTTTGCAATAGTTGTTGTTTCATTTACTCTTTCACGCCGTATTTGATAATCTGCAAATACTGATTGTTTACCTGCAGATATACAGGAAGTACTTTCTGAACATACGAGACATCTTCTCCAAGAGTAGTTGAAACCATTGAGCTGAGAATGTGTAAGTAAGGACATCAACCTTTGATCGTCCAGTTTAACATATTTGCAAAGGACGTTTTCAACATTTATTATGTTCACCAAATATTTACGATGTAATGTTGACAAGCAATGGTTGTGGGAAGCAACGCACACATATTAGGCATCTATTGATTTTAAACATTGTGTCTTCCTAAATATACGGAGTGAGTGAGTGAGTTATTATTTAACGTCACATCGGCAAGATTCCAGTCATATCGTGACGAGAACATTTGACATTGAAATAGAATATATATAGATATTATAAAAACCTGCCGACGAAGGACAGTAAAACAACTAGAATATCACAATTTGAATTAAAACTAGCTTAGAAAGTTAAAACTAATAGCACTATTTGGACAATACAATATTAAAACATGGCTAGAGATCTCCAACAACTGAAGGTAGATCACCATACTAGGGACCATGGGGACTCACAGTACCTTAGCTACCTGCATGGACCCTAGTTGGATTCACACCATCCCTTCAGCCGCTGGCGATTGTAAGCAAATTAAGCCACAAATAAAAATGACAAGAATTCTACGATTAAAAAAGTGGAAGATTAGAAGTTTACTTCAAATGGTTTGGGACTTACGTACCCTCTCAGGAGGACCTAAATATACGGAGAGTGTTGCAATGTTATGGCTGATACCGGTACAAAGTACATTTAAACTGGTACAATGAATGTCACACGTGGACGTTAATTGAAACAAACTTAGGTTCACCCTGATATCTGTACGCACAATAATGCACTGCGGGAGCACGAAATAAGAAATATATTTTGACTAATTAACAGTTGCATAATATCATTAACTAAATTTAAGATTCAGTACAAATTATCGGCACATATTAAAACTGACATACATAATAGAGAGCCAGTACAAAATGCAATTCCAAGGCGTTCTAAAATACGAATGTAGTTATATAAATATATAATATTCTTCGTCAACATTTGATATTATTCACAAGGAGGAAGTCTGGATAAGCTTTCAAAGTTGCCAAGGTTTGATATTTAGAGTGAAAAAATGAATATTTTCACATATCCGCTGGTTGAGATGCCATGTGACATGAGTGATGCACCTGCTTGCCCATTGATGAATTCTGCCTCTGCCTCCCTGAATGAGCCCGTGCATATACGGGTTAGCATTGGTCTTTAGCAACTCTTGCATACCGTTCCAGTCACTGGATTGTCTGTTTGAAACGTCATTCTTTACCGACGCTGTAATACGATTACAACATTTCTAGCAACATACCACCCGCCCATGGGAGTGTTTAAACATAAATTAAGTAAATTACGGACTTCTAACATTCAACTTTCGAAGTACATAGTTTAACTCAAAGCAGTACTGCACCTGCTTCAAGAAGCAACTTCAAGAAGATGTTTGGCCAGACAGGCAGCAAGTCTACAAGGACAATGAGTCTTTTGCTCTACATAAATAAGATAACGGCGGATGAAAGTACGCGTTAATCGTTTCCCAGAACGCCACTCTGCACGTCTATGCTGACACAAGATATAGCAGTGTAGCGATGTTTAAATCAAACCTGATATTGTGTTCTGTCAAGCGTTGGCATTTAATTGGTAAAACACATTCACGTGTTGTACCGTCATTCGATCTCCCGAAGTTTATTTTATAAAAAAAAATCCAGTGATCAAAAATGGATACTCATCAATTAATTTCCCTCAAAAACTGCAACGTCAGCCCTAATTATTTTCTTGAATGAAAAAGCTTTCAACCGGAACTCCTTAGTTATGGCTTGCTCACAGAAACGGACATTTCTTTCATCGGATAATGGAGGCGTCTCTGTCAAACAGTTCCTGTTCTCCATTGCAAGTAATGCGAGGTAACGTAGCTTCAAGACATACCAGTATCAACCAACCTTTTTCAGATCAATTCAGCCCTGTTCACGTGAGACTCGAGTGGACTTGCAGTTGATGGAATGTTTTGTTACTACGATCACATACACTTAAACAAGATAACCTGCAACAACTTGATTGTAAAACTCTTTTGTAATCTACATGTGTCTTCCGTGAAACATAAATAGTAGGTTCACGCTTTAATAACTTGTCACCCGAGAAATATAAACGCCTAAAGGTTTTGATGATATTCGTGTCGCCACGAAGGTGAAATTCTCAAATAGAAATTATGGCTTTCCTTTTCAACAATCATGAATTATGGAAATACTGCTGGGGTAACACGCAGGCACCAGTGCTAACAGTCCTTACATGTTATATGGAACCAAGCGACAAACACCTTTCCACATCCATATGAAATCGATTCTTCAATTTAGTGTATATCATGGGTATGTAATTGTTTCATCAGTGTTACAGCTGTTTTTTGTAAACTTATGTTAGTGACCCTTCCACCACCGTCAGATATAAGTGACTGGGTGCACTCGTGCGAAACACCATGGTGTTAATGGGTGAAAAAGGCATGTGAGGAAGGTTCGTATTAGAGCTACGATGGACTGTTATGGACACTATTTCACACTCAGATTAGCTGACAGTTGTACTAAACCATAAGTAGGTTTAATACTGCCACATCAACACTGTAATCTAAGCAGTATTGTACCCATTAACTTAATACATCCCTTGAGCACTATTCACTTGGTGTAATTAAAATCTCCTATTCCATAATCATAGTAAATCTCAGCTAAGAGCATTACCCCGTGATGTTCAGAGTACGATCGTTGTGGTGATGTGTATGAGTGATTTCTCCAGTTAAAATGAAACGTACATTCGTGAGTACTAAGACATTGGAGGACAGGAGTCTTGGGGATGCGACACTGACGGACACCGCACTGGAAGAGACATCAGTTGTGGACACTACACTGGAAAACACGACAATTGGGGACGCGACATTGGAGACATGATACTAGATAGTGAGTGAGTGAGTGTGGTTTTACGCCGCTTTTAGCAATATTCCAGCAATATCACGGCGGGGGACACCAGAAATGGGCTTCACACAATGTACCCATGTGGGGAATCGAACCCGGGTTTTCACCGTGACGAGCGGACGCTTTAACCACTGGGCTACCCCACCGCCCAACACATGACACTAGAATACACAGCAATTTGGGACACCACATTGGAAGAGAGAGAGAGAGAGAGAGAGAGAGAGAGAGAGAGAGACTCAGTAAACTACGGCTATAACGAACTATCTGTATGTCGAATCTAGAAGGACTGCTAATTGTCATTCGTTATAACCATAGTTCAACTAAAATTTATAGCAAGGGGCCAGGACCACAGAACATTTCGTTTACTGCTGTGTGTCTAAAATATACTCCCGAAATCAACGCGCACAAGCATCACTGTGAAAAAGCCCTACATTATCTATTCACATGTAGAAATATCAAAACTCTGTTAATACAACTATGTTCAAACAAGTAAAAATTCCTAGATCAGAATGTCACAGGTTACCGTTTACCTCAAGTCAGTCAAGTGAATCAAGTGTTTATTTCCAGTCCGAAGGCCTCAGGCCAATATACAAGTATGGTAATCTACCTTCAGTTGCTGGCAATCTATAGGCTGTTTTTTATATTGTATTGTCATCTATAGTTAACTATTTTAGATGTTTTTTTATCTTACTCACTCCATATACAATGTAAAATATATACATTTGTATATACAATAGACTAATTGCAGTATTGCCTTAGTTTACAAAACATAACATTATACATACATACATACAAATCCTTATTTACAGATGGATCCAAGGATGGTGGCGATTACCCGGCGACAGTTCTATTTTCACAGCCGAATCAAATGCCATATTACAGTGCTTAAATATATTCAAAACATCCTGAATATAAACAATATATAATCTTTTCTGACTCGTTCTTGCCTTCTTGTAAACATCCACTTTTAATAGAAATTATTGAATTGTATGATGATCTTGCTACTGGCCAATACGACGTCGTCCTCTGTTGGTTACCTAGCCATGTTGGAATCTCTGGGAACACAATGGCCGATTTTGTTACTAAGGCAGCACTCAACAAGTCTGTGACACCACTTCTTATTCCATACTCTGATTGCAAGCTAGCATTAGAACTTACAATGTACATCGGCGAGCTGATGCAGAAGCAGTGGGACACCCAAGTAGGTATAAATAAGTTATATGCAATTAAACCAGCTATCGGTTACACCTACTTGGGTTGTCAGTCCAGATTTGAAGAGGTCATTACGCGACGATGTCACATTGGCCATACAAGATACACTCATAATTATCTATTGGAAGGTGGGGACCCTCAGTTTTGTATCCCTTGTGATGAATGAATTACGAACATGTAGGACGTCGCCATCTACAAAAATACATACACATTCTTGCAAACAGAATATGTTTGGGTCTTCATTGTTGAATACGGACACCCCATGTGTTCTCACCATACGTACGATCATGAAGGTATTGTCAGTCTGTCTGGACTACTGTCATTACAAATGTGCACAGTGTCCTCGCACAACTGTCATTTCGTAAATCTGGGTCTAAAGAAATTTACTTCATTTGCGACTTTACAGCATAACATGCACATCCTAAATTGAATTAAATTCCTTTTATTCAAACACGAACGAGGCAATACTGACAAAAACGGGTTTAAGCTCTGGCTCTAGGGGTTAAATGATTTCTTCAGAACCCTTACAAAAAATAATTGGATGACATTCATTACCGATTATTTCGTACACCAGAGGCAAGCCCAGCGGAATGATCGGGTCAAAGACATTTGTGACACGTTCGTTCATATAATGTTGCTAGAAGTTGGAAATTGAAAGGAAGTTGGACATTAAACATAATTGATTAACATTTCTTAAAACATGTTCGCCGGTCTTGGATCTTCGACTGATTTATATTTGGCATAAGTTACAAACTGCTAAATAAATATACATAATACAAACTCAATTAGACTAACTTACAATTTTGGAGCACTATGATAGATAATTTTTCCCACGACACCATTTTCGGTGTATTTATTATAAACGTACCTAAATCTGCCATAAAATGTTTGGCTTGTATTGCTAAAATTGAGCAATCTTAACCTGCCCAGATGGACAACAATACCAGTAATTGAAAGAAATTGCCCACTTTGAAAATCAACTGATTTAAGTGATGAAATTAGTACTCTTTTCTCTGTAACAGTCTTGGAAAATGAGGGAATCTGCTAATTCATATATATTTCTACCCAAAACCAAAATTCGCTCAAATGAACTTACTTTTTAATGGTGACATATTGGAAATCCCGGTACCAGGAAGTGGTACATTGTATACATGTTTACATTTTACTATGTTCATGATGTTCATTTAATCTGACACTATGTCTAGCATACATCTACATAGAAATTTCACATTTCAAAATGTACAAAGAGAGGAAAGAAACAAAGCGGTGTACACGTGTACATGTGCTATGGAGAGTCCTACTGGTTCCTCGTCGCGTTGCTGTAAACACAGATAAGTAGAATTGATGTGTTACACGATATGCCTCTGAGAAGATTCTTGGCATGTCTTTGTGTTTGCATGAAATTGACTTCGTTACTTTGAGAGAATATGATCGGCATGCTGACAAAACAACATTGATCTGACACACAAGAAGATGAAGCTTATTGATAACTTGGATGCATGGGGCATTGTCTTCCGAACCTTGGATGCGGAAGGGGTTGGCATTGTCTCAAACAAAGAGTACGGATACAGGTGTATGATATTTCTGCAAATGCATTACTGATAGAATGATAAGAACTAGGTAGGCTAAACACAACAAAGGAGGTCGATAGCACTGAAACCGTGTCCGTGGAGAAGCCTGTCAACGCCATTGTTCACCACCACAAGAACTGTGGGAACGGTGCATTGTCGTTTTCACTGCGGTCGAAAGGGTCTGTCCTCACGAAAAGCTTGAGCGTCACGATCGTAATAATCCCATTGTCCTTATTGTCCATTCATTATCCTTATTGTAGGGACTAACATTCGTAGTTGTATCTGTATATCACAGCTAAGACTTCTCCCACGATGCACTGCCTAATCGAACCAATCCAGAACTATTGTGTGAGGTGAGGTGAAATTGGGTTTAACGTCGTGCTTGAGAATATTTCGCTCATATGACGACGTGCATGCGTGTGTATGTGTATGTACGGCTGCTTGTTCTAGCCCAGACTGAAGCTGGTTTTATAGTGCTAGCCCACTGAGATAACATGCCGCAGTGAAGCATGAATACCCCACTCAGACACATTATACTGACTCCGAGCCGACCAGTCCTTGTTGTACCCATTAATGCTGAGCGCCAGGCAGGGACCAACAAGTACCATATTTTAACGTCTTTTGGTATGACGCGGTCGGGGATCGAACCCGCGACCTTCCGCAGAACTATTGGGAGAATGACATTGCATAACCCCCCCAACACTGCAACCATCTGCATTACCAAGATTGTCAGAAGGGCTGTGTTCCTGGCACCAAAGCCGGGTGCTGCATGAGTGTTACTCAATGAGTTTGTATGGTTTTACGCGTCTTTTAGCAATATTCCTGCAATATCACAGCGGGGGACACCAGAAATGGGTTTCACACATTGTACCCATATGTTGAACCCGGGTCTTCGGCGTGACAAGCAAACGCTTTAACCACTAGGCTACCCGAGTGTCACTGAGGAGCCTGGGAGGTACCAGGACTAATGTTGAACAACCGGGTATTTTGGATGGAGTTGAGACATTTCGTCAGTGGGGTCCACGTTTCTGCTCATCTTGTCAATCTCAAAAAGGGACAGAGCAGTCAGTGGTATCAATAATGTCATTAGTTGTATGGAAACAGTAAAGTCATTCGTTTTTGGATACGTCGAAGTTTATACTCATGATAGGACAAAAACACAAGCATGGCGAAGACGGTAATATGAGAAGCGGGCCACACCATGATGTCGCTGACGATACTGTATTTGTACCTTCGATGGGAATTCACTGACAAGGCGTTGGACAGACTCATTAGATTGCACAATCTACATTTCATATTTGTATTACGTACTGTAAATTCACATTAAATTTCCTCCACGTGTGTGCCATAAAAGTTTGCAAGCCTTGAGACTTGAATGTTGTAACCTTGATCGAACAACTTCTGAAAAATAGTCATATGGCGCTTTTTGAAATCTTGGTAAAAACGAGAATGCTTGATTGTACCTCAGAAGCTGTGAAATGTAAACACCCCCGTCATTGCCCGGGGCATAGAGTTTCATATGCCTGTTACATGCATGTGCAAAAAGTACAATATATATTTTAAAGGGTTCACGTGTTTCTGAACATTGCTGACAACTGAATTCGGGGTATGCATGTCTTGCCCTACCGAAAGAACCCATCAGGAGCGGTTAATGTCACTCAACACTTGACACAGGAAACTATTTTATGGAAGTATAACAAGGTTAATGCTAAAGAATAACCGGTCTTGACTTTAAGAAACAGAATGCATTTGCTGTGAAATCATAGTGAAGAACATGTGAGTGGATCACTGAAAATCAGTGATGACACCCGGTGTTCAACACACTGGTGAGCACATTCTGCCCTGTCGGTAGTCCCCGTAATTTCCACAATTGTACCTAATAAGGTAAGCAGTTATATCCAATTCATGTTAAAAAAACAAATAATCTTGACTCTTCGAATTCAGTGTTTGAAGAAGGAAAGGTTGGTCATTGTTCCTCAATAGCAGTCAGTAAATGTGAGAAAGAACCTCAATCCACCGACTTGTTGCTTGTTGACAAACTGGAATGTAATCATGTACATGCGGCCACAATCCAGGAAGCGTTTATTGAACATGCCTCTTGAAGCCATTGTCAGCAAGAAGTTATAAATTGCAAATGTGAAATCCCCAATCCAAACTGATGACAATGACTTGACCACTGTGTAGAATTGGTGACTCCATTGGTTCAATAACGGATTAATCAGACTTTATTTTCATTTGCATTTCTTCTGAAGTATGCTTCTTCATTTTCCCACACAGGGAGGAGTTGTTAGATTTAGTTCGGGTACTTATCTTCTTGTACAATTTTGTATTCAGTGTTGACTGAAAAAAAATAAAAAAACACTGTAACCATTTATGAACAATGACTTCTATCTATACACTGTAATTACTTTACGTTCTATACATGTATAAATATGTGTCTGTACATTTCTAAATTAACCAAAGAATTTTTGTATGATAAGTATCTATACATTTCTATTTAATCCAATAATTTTGTGGTAAACAATATGTATATATTAAAAGTAACATGTATTCCCATCAGCCCTGTTAGCTGAATCAATTATGACATCTACATGTTTTGCGTCGTGACGTCAAAGAATTTTGACGTCATGGGTGCAGTTAACTGTTTATTAGTGTTACCTGATGATAGGTCCGGAACAGACCCCGAAACGTTGTATTAATGAATAAAAGAAGATGAAATCCAGAAAATTATTTATGTTCATCCACTCTCATTGTCTGAGTACAGAAGGACCAGCTGCTTCTGCAATGTTCAGGCAAACGTGGTCCTTATGTATATGAACACGTCAATAGATAAGGTTGTAATGGGTTATTGCTCCGACAATATTTCGCAACCGGGAGCCAATGTTCACTTTATTAGGTAATCATATTTCTGGTGGATTATTTTTTCTGTGGGCGTCAACAAACCATCAATACTTCTTGATGCAAATTTGGCATCAGGCAACACACTTATAGAATCTTCCTCATTCACATTTGGCGTCAGGAAACATATAAAAGCGTGTTAATGAGACGTAGGCGTTAGGCAACACATGCAAATGCCATTATGCAAAGTGGGCGTCAATGTTTAAATACAAATTGTGTAGACGACTGGTGTGATCACATAATTTCCGTGATCCATCCACAAAAATGTGTTTCGTCAGACACTAAATCATACGCTAACAAAATTAACTCGAGATGCTTTTTGTAAAATACTGGAAGTGCTGGCATTGAGGCATTGGGTGCCTCATACATTCACAAGGTAGAATAAAAGCTCTCACTGGCCAGTGATGTATTTTCAGTCATACAAAAACACCTACCACACGTTCGGTCATTGTTCAGTTGCAACAGATATTTGGTTTGTGAGTTAGGCTTCAGTATGTCTATTGCGCTTCCAGCAAAATTCATTTTTGTGGGAAGCTGAACCATAATGGGACCCATACACCCCAATCAAATTTCACTGGAAGCTAAATTTTTAGAATAATATTTGATCACTATCTTTAGCCTTCTAAAGACTTTTTCTTGAATCTTTCCAAACTTCTATTGACAGTCTTTAATGCCATTTATGTCACAATGGATCCAATAACACCTGTAACTGATATAATACTTTTTGATATCGCAACCTTACTTTTTACTACGATATTCCGATCAATTGATGCCCATGTATGGCCGTAGTCAAGGTGAAAGAATTGCACAGCGTCAAAACGCGATTAGGTTTCCAGTAGCCCTAAGATTTATACCATTTGCAAAGCCGGATATACCATCAGGAACTGACCATCTGAAATGTTTCCTGTTCCTTTGGAACAAACCTGATCGGTTATCCTAACCTAATTTAAATCGCGATGTATATTGATAATAGGTAAAGTATTAAACAGTGTGATGTGTATGTACTCGTTTTAGGGACAGACGAAAAGGATACACTTACCACCATCTCAACGTCTTGCTAACCACAAGTCAAATAAACGAAACACTTCGTAGTTATAGTTTTAAGCTGTAACTGTATGTATAACAGAATCATACCGTTACATTTGCCGTTTTGATGATCGGGTGTAATCGAAAACCAAATTTCCATGTATATTGCTGACCACAATTTGTAAACAGACACTGAGATGCGATGCTTGTCCCCATTGTGCCAGACGACAATGTACTTATGTTTAAACTCTGATCATCAAAATGTGGCAATGTATCATATATGATATAAATTGAGTGTTCTGTTGAGCTAACAAAATAGCCAGCACATTTTACTGTGGGACAATGTTTCGTGTGAATGGGTTTCATGTTGATGATGAACTAGCAGGTCAAACAAACTTAGGGAATACTTCTTCAACTTTGCAATGTTGGGAGAACCAGTTTTGAAACATCGTACATATAAATTAGCTAACGACATGGATTTTTGTTTTGTGGTTACATATTCCAACATGGCTATTATAGCGAATAAGGCATTCCTTGCAAAGTCACTGTGTATTTCAGGTGTGTAATCTATATATGACTCGAATCGTCTCACAAGCAGGCTGTTTATATCGGACGGACGAAAATGGTAGTTGATAATACTGATCTGTATACACAGACAAATATGGCCGCGATTACGAAAGAGGAGGTATTTAGTATTCTGATGGCGTGTTCGTGAAGCCAAGAACCCCTGGCCTTTGACGTTGAGCCATGACCCACATAACCATCATTCGTGTCTCTCCGCAACTATGTTTGTGTGTTAACTAGATCACAGAAGGACTGTCTTCAGTCTGTGAATCGTCAGAGCGGAAGGAGGGCAGAAGAAACCGTCCTGATCACAGAGTGATACAATTAACGCGTCCCTGTGGAACATTAATTGCCAGAAAGTCCTGGCAAACGATGTGAAATGAGTGGATTGGATTGCTAAGCATAAACATGAGTCTTGTAGAATACCTGATGAGATTGTAAGTGTTGCCACGTACGTTTTACGATGGCACTATACAACCTAAAGATGCAAAATAAGTAACCAAAGTGCTGTATAAAAACATACGGTCACTTGATTTTTTTGCTATTGACAGGTACTTCAAATAGAAATCAAATTAGATGTTTCTGTAGGTCGGCGGCGTGTGAAACATGCCACTTGTTATCTTGATCTACGTCAAACCGATCAATGTCAGTCCTGTATTAACAATCTGCCCCTCGGTCCACAGTGTATAGATAGCTGCCTCCATTTTACCAAATGACTCTTGCTGACGATTGAACTACACTCGTCCCTTACTGGACCACCCATAAGTGCCATCCTTGCATCTGTTATCAACCGTCTTTCAATATATATGTTACCCAGGTTAGGTACTAGAAGGTACGAGAACGACTTTGTTGTAAATAAAGTTATGTATGTCATCAAATCTATAGGTCATACAAATAAAAATATCTGTTATTTCTGGTGAAAACCAAAAGCCATTGAGACAGGAGCTTGACGATCGATATTCACATCCCTGGCGATAATAGTTACACATGTTAGCTGTATTAATACCTATTCCACAAAATCGACTGGTTATCATCGTCATTGTGAACCTTCAAATTTGCACGTCGCAGGTCTGCCCGTGGTACATTGTGTGATGTTATTATATATCTGAAAATTAAGTTATATAAATATGTTAGACATCTAAAATACAATATTACATCTATTGAAATACTTTTACAATAATTGTTGTCCCGTGTACTCTTACACGCTACATTTGCATAACACTGCAAATACTAATTGATTATTTACCTACAAATGTTAGTGAAATACTTTCAAACACATCAAACATCTCTACCGAAAAGTAATTGTCACCATTGAGTTGAAAATGTGTAAGTACGGATCTCACCCTATATATATTTACAAAGGACGTCTTCAACATTTATTATGTTCACCAAATATTAACCATGAAATGCCAAATGTTGACAGGTCGTGGGAAGCAACGTACACAAATACTAGCCATCTATTGATTTAAACACTGTGTTTTCCTACATGCATTGGTAATGTTGTGATGTTATGGCTGATACCGGATGAAAGTACATTGCCATAAAGTAATCTTAGTACAATGAATGTGTTCTTACACGTGGACGTTGAAATCGAAACAAGCTTAGGTATCCATACGGAAAAAAATGCTCTGTGGAAGCACGAAACAAAGAAATAACCGTTGACTAATCAACAGTTGCATAATATCATTAACTGGATTTATAAGTCAATACAAATTACTGCAAAGAGTCTAAACTGACACGCATAAAAGAGTGCCAGTACAAAATGATATGCCAATACAATTACAATGGCATTATAGAACACGGATGTATTACCAATGATGTAATACGATTACATGTCTAACAATATACCACCCGCCAAATATGAGTGTTCAATCATAAATTGAGTATATTACGTATTTCAAACATTCAACCTTAACGGTATTTAGTTTAACTCAAAGTATTACACATACTTCAAGAAGTAACTTCAAGAAGACGAAGATACAACTCATAAACAGCTCATGAATAAAGTAAAACCACCAACACAGGTTTCGTCATGCACGTAACAAATCGACAAGGACAAGGAGACTGTATAAGATAACGGCGAATGATAGTACGCGTTAATCGTTCCCCGCAAAGTCATTCCATACAGCAACGCTGACGCTAGCTATAGCAGTGCATCGATGTTTAAATTAAACCTGATATTATGTTCTATCAAGTGACAGCATCTAATTGGTAAAACACATTCACGCGTGGTGACGTCGTTCGATCTCCCGAAGTTGCTTTTTTTACAAACATTCCATTGATCCAAAGAAGGATAGTCGTCAACTGATTTCAGAAAGAGTTAATACTTTCCCTCACAACCTGCCGCGTCAGCCCTAATTATTTTCTTGAATGAAAAAGCGTTCAAACGGAACTCATTAGTTATGGCCTCTTCAAGTTTTTCATGGGATAATGTCTCTGTCAAAGAGTTCCTGTTCTCCACTGCAAGTAATGCGAGATAACGTAGCTTCAAGTGAGACACAGGTGGACTTGCAGTTGATGGAATCTGTTTTCTTAATAGGATACACATACCCTTAACCCCCTGGATGCCACAGGGACATATATGTCCTTCCCCTTCATCCCTCAATTTGAAGTCGCATAAAAATCAAAATATACCACGCACACAAATACACTTCACAGTTTCGAATTCTGCGGGAAATTTCCTGTTTCTTGATACCATCCACTATTATTTTAGACAAAGCTCAAGTGCTGAAAATGACTTTTCAAAATAGGCTTCATCTAAAATGGCGAAATTTTCGACACAGTATGAAATCGCGATTCACAGCGTTATTTGCTGTATGTTTTGAAATGTGAAAATCGGATAATTCCTGGGAGTACTGAATTTCAAAACTAACCTATTCATGATCACTGATATCACTTTTACATGAAATCGCTAATTATAATTCTGAAACGTTGCCGATGAATCTAGAATCGGTTGGGATGTTTTCGAAAATGCACTTACACGAACGCCGTAGAGCCCTTTCCGCCATATTGGATAGTTTTACAAAATCACGTTTCGCGAAGGCCGGTATTGAGACGCCTATTACATCACGTATATTTCATATTCAGCTTCGAAAAATGCATCACTGAATTCCCCATACATTTTAGAATCAAATTGCAACTGGTCTGTGTCACCAATACCAACTGTCTAGATCAAATGAGACGAAACATATTGGGTGTGAAAACGAACGCTGTGCTCGAAAGACTGCGCTGGTTCGAAACGTAAACAAAGACAAATTCCGATTTTACACTGCGTAGCATTTTCTGAAATTTTCCAACATTCATCCGTCTATTCATAGCTTGCAATAGCTCCAAACCTTTTGAATATGCATGGAAAGAGTATCGTAGTAAGAAATAGGAAATTATAAATAGATACAATGCAATGATTTGATAATTCATAAGAAATTGTCAAAGTTTCCGTGCAGCGTGACGCCATGACTGGCGCAAAATCACGCAGAACGACAACTGTAATATATCAGCATTTCTGGCTTCTTCTCTTACTTACAGTGAAAACGATAGAAACATATAACAATACACAGTTAGTCAGAATCATTCTGATTACTTACATCTCATATTTATGTACAAACGATCCCTGAATCAATTGAAGAGTCCTCGCAAAATCCTATCTATCCTTGTCAGCAAAGCCGCCATTTTGTAAGAAATAGGTCATCAGTAGTGATGTCATACGTCAACATTGTTGTACATATTAGGCAATTTCTTTGAGGTGAAGGTCGGTTGAACAAGAGTAAACACAATCGCCCAATCCTTCCGATTACACTGTCAGTATTATAATGTATATTTTGCAGAAAGTTCAGATACTTTTTCATGAAACTGACCTCAGTATCTACATTTAGCCTTGTCAAATATCATATCATACTTGCATATAGGGTTTATGGTGTTTTATTCTTTGAAAGGTTTTGATTGTTTGAATAATATTTACATAAGAAATTGACACATTTAGTGCAGTACACCATATTCTAAACCTTTACACAAGTGTTAGAAGATCAAACGTAGCCATAACTGCAATATTACTTTAGTTCCTATGATGTACAATATTCAATGCATATGAACTAATATCGCAGTTTCACATGAACAGGTTAATGAATGGCGATTTGATTAAACTTTATAAGTAAAACTTATAATATTTAATGAAAATGATTTATGTATGTTATGAAATGTATATGCACAAACATTTAAAGGAAATGTTTTGTTCATTGCACATTTTTGTGTCGTTTTATAGAGAAAACAATGATGTAAATTGATTGGTCAGGTGCGCGTTTGTCGGAAACGTTTTATAATTCACTATCATTGTTTTCGATAATATAATCAATTCATATTCGATTTTAAAATATTGTGATGACAGGATATCAAACTCTAACTATATTTATACGAAAATTGTTTAAAAATGTATAAAGCATGTCATGTGTTAATTTGGACAAATCTTACATCCATATTCTAATATATAGTTCGTACTAGTTCCATATATAAAAAGCTATCTTTTTTGCATCTTCCATTGCATACGTATGAAGAGAAATAGCTGCATAATCATAAATAAAGTAAATTCCTATCCTAAACAAAATATTCAGGTGTTGTGAAATGTTATTTTTCATTTACGTTAAATTGATGCCAAACAGGTGCGCGTGTTGCTCATGATAAGATACACAGTCAAACTGTCTAATTGTTGATATATTCAGGACACTATTTAAAATGGAAAAAACAGTCATTTTATGTTTTGTCTAAAGAGTGTTAATTCTGAAAAAGAAGCCGAGACCTTTCACACAATTAATGGAAATTAGGTGTGATATATACTAATCAGAATACCAATGTCGTCACTTTCCGACGTCGCAAAATGCATAAAACAAGCAATGACGTCAACTAAAATGTTGTATTATTTTCAGCAATTTCAATACATTTGAAAATATGGCTAGTATTCTGGTAATAACGATGCAAAATTAGTCAAAATACATCTACACAAACAGGAGAATATGGGAATCTAAGAACTAACTTATATATCGGATAGGGCCATCCAAATCGCTATTACGTGCTTTCAAATGTAGTACGTTGTCATCTTTTCTTATAAATTGTGAAACTACTAAAGCGTATCCGCTAACATTGGGGAACTTTGAATTGGAATAGTTTGGTTCACCGTTAACAAAAAATAACGAAAATATAGCGTCCGTATCCACAACAAATACTCTCCATGTGATTAGAGTTACATTGACATCGTGTTAAGAATAACGGAGTTATGCCCCCTTATCATTATACGTGTATGACCTCTCTGTCGTCGTTTGACGTCGTAGAAGAAAATCCATTTTTGACATTTATTGCGAGTCATTTTTAATGTTGAGCGTATAATGTTATGCATAAGCACATAAATCCAATTCATATACACTTATGTCGTTCAGATATCAGGCTGTATTTTCTTCGCTCACACTTTCCGTAAAGATGCCAAAATAAAAAAATTGTAGCACAGTGCTTTTATGGGTGCGCGATAAAAAGCGGAGAAATTTACTGTTTTTTAACGCATAACAAAAATTTGGACAATATTTAGCAAGGTCTATTTTTCAAACCGCCGAGGTAGTTGCACTTATATTTATACCAACGGATAGGAAATTTAATATTCTACTTTTCTGTGTAATTTTATAGCCGTACGTAGATCCAGGACCAAGCGAGCCCAATTCTCGCACAACGTTCACTTTTCAAAGCGTATGAAAATGTGCGCCTGAAAAAAAACTCGGCAGCCAGGGGGTTAAGCACGATAACCGGTAACAACTCCTTGATTGTAAACCTGTTTTGTAATCCACATGTGTCTTCCGTGAACCAGCCGCCGTGATATTATTGCTGGAATATAGCTAAAAGCGACATAAAAAACACTCACTCATTCTTCAGGGAAATATGAATAATAGGCACACGCTCTAATGACTTATCACCTGAGAAATATAGAAGCCTAAAGTTTGTGAAAATATTCGTGTCGCCATGAATGGGAAATTCACAAATAGACATTTCAGTTTTCCTTTTGCACAACAATACTTCGTTCAGATTATCCTTTAGGTTACCAGCATCTTCACCGGCATGAATCTTAGAATTTGGGGTTTTGTTCTGAAATAACCTGTGAACAATCTCTAGCGGCTGGAGGAATTGTGGACATACTGAAAGGGTAAACTTAAGACATCAGTGCTAATAGCCCTTAGCCTGGCAATGAGAAAGAAGCGACAAACCCCTTTCCACATCGATATGAAATCTCTGCTAAAAGCCGAGTAGATTGTTCAGTTCTGAGTATGTCATGGGTATGTATTTGTTTTGAGCAGTTTTACATCTGTACGATGGTGTTTGTAAACTTTAGTTGCGCTGGTGATAAAAGCCTGTGTCTATGTTATAATGTCAAATAATTGCCATAACCTATAATATATAATGTTTTATTGATATTTGTGATTGAACTTTGGCATTCGTTTTGTCAGTCGGGCGCATTGGAGTACTAAAACACTGTGTAACAAAAGTCTTGGGGACGCGATACTCGAGGACACAACACTAAAAGGCACAGCGATTGGGGACAACACACTGGAAGACACGACATTAGGGGATGCGACTCTGGGGGACACAACACTGGAAGACATAGTAATGGGGACACTGCATTGGAAGATACGAAAACTGGTGACACAACACTGGAAGACACAGCACTTGGGGACACTGCATTGGAAGATACGACAATTGGGGACACTACACGGGGGCGGGAAGGGAGGGTCACAGCATGGTGAAGCCATCACTGGACCCGGGGAGGAAACAACAAGGACTCATCACTGGCGAAAACAACGATGGGGACTCAACACTCAATTACACGGCACAAGAGGAAACGACACTGCGTTAGACAACCCTTGAACGACATTGGATGACATTGGAAAATACAAAAATGGAGGACACGACATTGAAGTACCAACACTGAATAACACTGGGGGATACAACACTGAAGTAATACCATACTGGGCGACACAACACTGGGAACACAAGAAAAGTACAACATATTTGGGATGCTACACTGAGGTACACAAGAAGGACACGACTTTGGAGAAAACAACATTGGACTGCACATGGAAAACACAACACTGGAGTTCATTGGTAGAGAGAGGGTCGGAAGTGGACGTTAAACCCGTAAATATATGATTACTTTTTCCAGTATATAATTATTGCAATGTCAAAAACATCGTTTCCCTATATGAGAGAGAAACAGAAGGACCGAGAGAGAAAGCGAAGGACAGAGAGAAAGAATGTGTGCGTGCTTGCGTTGCCTATTTCTTGCCAAAATGCATATCTGAATTACACGTATTCTGGATCAATGATCATACTTATACTGTTTCCTACCGCTGAACATAAAATGACTTCAGTCTGCAAGTCTGTTTTCACGCTTACACCAATAACGCACAAATCTTTCTTTAGTTCTCAGGTCAGTTTCGTTATTGTTCATCGCTAAAGAGACGGTAGTGATCTGAGCATTTTGATTGTTTACCAATCCGTGCTTCTTTCGGAAATAAAACAATGTTTAAACCCACAAACATTCCCAATGTCACAGGTTACTGGTTAACTCATATCAAGTCAATGCCCAGGAGAAGGGAAGAGTATTTATTACATTCCTCTCGAGATTACAAATCTCAGGCCTGTCAATACAACGATCTGGCCGAGACAAAACATGTCCCTGTGACGTTAAGGGTTGGTCATCGGACACCTTGGCAGTATTGGTTCTAGCGAAAACAAATGTCATCTTGTCCACCACACGTACACAGAGAATGAACTGACGTTCGTATTTCGTCAGTAATAAATGGGTTAACTGAGGGAATACATTCGGTGACCCTAATTCCATCTCACTTTTCACTACAACTAATATGGCGGGAATACTAAGTGAAATATGACACCAAAACAGAACATGACAATTGTCGATAACAATGTTGATTTTCTGTTCAGTAAATGTTTTAATAAGGTTCAAGTATCGCATCTGTGAAATGCAATGTGGACGTTAGGAAGTTTAAAAAATCATCAGTCCATGTCAATTAACTAAAGCTTCTGTTTTCAGAACAAATGTTCAGAATGTGCAATCTTAAAACATATCACCATTCGATGTGTTTCTTGATCAATGGTGTTCTTCTCGCATCTTTTAAGAATTGAATGTCACTTTGTGTGTTTGCACTGAAAAATGAACGATGTCGAAGCGTTGTTCAAACTCGTGTGAACGAGCGAGTTTACACGAGAGTTTGAACAACGCTTTGACATCGTTCATCTTTCAATGCAAACACACAAAGTGACGTTCAATTCTTATAATTTCGCACTTTGATGTTTACACATACGTTTTTTACCCACTTCTACATGATCATTGTTTACAGTGATGTGTTTGATACCTGTAAAATGTTGTAATGTTATTCTGTTCAAGACCGTATTGTAGCGATGTTTGTATACTTGGCGATTTAATTGCACATGTATCCCAACCCTTGAAGAAATAGTTCTCAAAGTATTCCTTAAAATATTACAACAAATTCGTCAATAGGTTTGAGACTGCTTTAATAAGCATAACATCAATAAAATTATCAAACAGAAACAAATACCAATAACAATATCATTTTAACAAACTGTCATTGTACCTATAAAATCATGACGGATTCGTTTGACCGCGTAATAATACACTGACCGACTTCGAAGTTGTGCGGCGTGGCGAATAGGAAGCAGATTTCGTTGGTGTATTCTATCTATTTGTGATTGTTTAATGTGAAATTTAATAAGCAGTATTTAAACAGATCACGGGGCAGAACCCGCAGACCGCGAGACTCTTGTGATAAGGAACAATGCTGGGCTATTGGAAATCCGTTTGGTCGTTAAGAAGTGACATTGCCAAAATTGGGGTGACTTGAAACAGGATCGCTCGCTAGATTGGCATCACCAAATGCAACAAGATCATAGGGGTTCCTTGAAACCGTAGCGGAAATTTGGAAAATTAGGTCGCACTGGCTGGGACGTTTTGTCGGACCCGTTGTCAGTCAGATTTTTGCAAAACTGTGCTCAGTTGGTGCTTTTTGTTATATACAAAAACAAGTAAGTGATATGTATAAATTAAAAGGAGTGTGAATGCAAATGATTTATTTTGTTTACGTCAAGCTGGACAGCGAGTATCCTGGGGAAAACCCGGAAAGTAGTTCCGGCAAAAGTTCACATGACCCAGATCGGCTCGAAAACGTTCACACACGTATGAACGATGTTTACACACGTACTAACGATTTGAAGGGTTCAAGGGAAATGAACCTTGAAATGTTGATCACATGACCGCTCTCTCAACCAACCAACGTTCGGGAATCTGTGTAAACTTCCAAGCACGAAATTATTCAGTTTTGTCCTCAAGAAATTCTATATAACACTACAGTTTTGTTATCCAGAGAATGTATGTGGACGTCTGTATTTCAGTTCAACTTTGAGCGTCATTTGATTCTAGCTCAGAAGCTGCTTGATCAAGATACAATTTAAAGCCTTAGTAAAGTTTCCAAAACGCTTAGTGGCAGTCGTCTAGGTGACATTTCCAAATTTGTCGATTCAGTAATAACAATAATGTCCGGTGATATACAGCGTTTTGACTAGTTCCAAATGCTGGTATACGACTTACATAGTTTGCATGTGATAGGATTGTGTTGTTCCAGTTAATATCTAAACGTTTCATAACGTGTACATACGCTGTGGATAGTCCTACTGTTCTTTAGTTACAACACACAAACATCACGTTAAACAAACATAAGTGGAATCAATGTGTTACGCGATATGCCTCTGAGACGTTTCTTGGCATGTCTTTGTGTTTGTATGAAATTGACTTCGTCACTTAGAGAGAATATGATCGGCATGCTGGCAAAATATCATTGATCTCACAAACAAGAAGATCAAGCATAGTAATAACCGGGATGTATGGCGCATTGTCTTCAAAATCTTGGGTGCGGAAGGGGTTCGTATTGTCTCGAAAAATGAGTAAGGATAGAGGTGTATGGTTTGTTTACAGTTGCATTACTGTTAAAATGATAAGATCTAGGTAGTCAAAACACAACAAAGGAGGCTGATAGCATTGAATCGGTTTCTGTGGACAGCGGATGAAGCGGAGGTTCATTGTCGGTTTTAGTGCAATCAAACGGGTCAGTCCTCACGTAAACATTTAGCATCATGGTCGCAATAATCCCATGCACCATCCTTATATATTGTCTATATATCTAAAGAATTAAGAATTGTTCAGTACTGTCGTCTCGGGACAGTGTAATAAGTATTCATCTTGTTTACACATGCCTGTTCGGAGAATGACATTGTGTAAACTCCCCTAGTACTGTAACCTTCTGCCGGGTACTCTAGCACTGTCAATCAAACTATTGTGAAGTACCAAACCTGAGGCTCCAAGAACAATATTGGACAACCTTATACTTGGGTTGCATGAAGGACATTTCGTAAGCGAGGTCGAGGTTTTTCCTAATTCTGATCAACCTCATTTGGGACAATTCAACACTTCAATAAAAACTATGCGTCTACGGATAAACACTGGTATAGTCTAAAGAATTGCCATTTTCATGATGCCCCCAACATATCTTCAGTCGTACATTAGATGTCGTCTAAGATACTGTGTTTGTGCCAATCCACTGACAATGTGTTGAACAGTCTCTGTATATTCTTTGCACAATTCATATTTGCAAATTCTCAAATTGGCGGATACGAGTGAGTTGTGACTGAACGGGAACAGTAAACGTTAAACCTTCTGTTTCTGGCAGGCCAGTTGCCACAATCCCCTTCTGTTTCTGGCAGGCCAGTTGCCACAATCCCCTTCTGTTTCTGGCAGGCCAGTTGCCACCATCCAAGCGACCCAGTTTATAAAGTGTCCACGAAAGTGGAGAGTCATGTGCGGATGTGAACGCAGTCATGTTATGCTAAGGGATGACATGGACAAGCACTACCTGTAAAGGCATCTACCATTCCAACCCTCGCGTCATTGCCTGGGGCATAGAGTTTTATATGCCTGTTACATACATGTGCAAAAGGACAATTTATATATCTAAGGGGTTCATGAGTTACTGATCATTGATGACAACTGAGTTTGTGGTATGCATGTCTTGCCCTACCGAAAGAACTCATAGTGAGTGGTTAATGTCACTCAACACATAACACAGAAAACATTTTCATGACTTAAGAAAATGTAGATAGGTGCAAAAGAATAACCAGTCCTCAGACAAAAGGCTTGTTTATACGGCGAAAATATACACATGTGCAAATTTGCATACATGAGTAAATTTACATAGGGAGTGTAATTTGCTAGGGTGAGCAATTTGCTATGCGTTCATACGGACTTTAGGCAAAGCGGTAGTAAATCTTGATAATAGTTCATTTCTGCACTAGCAATGGATGGAGTAAGACGTGAGATAAGAAGAAGGTATAGGCATTTCCCATATTACATCAGTGTTAGTCTGATACTGGGATGTTCGAATGATCGAACTTCTAGAAGAAAGCCAAGATCAAGTCATTGGTATACGGAAGTTGTTGGCAAACATTTCACTGATGCCGAATGGTTAGAAAATTTTAGAATGCGAAGAGAAACGTATGAATTGATCTGCACTCGACTAAACGATGAGCTCTCTCCCTCTGAACATACAGTTGAGGAACCATTGGATGTGAAGAAAAAGGTTGCTATAACAATCTATTGGATGGCTTCCTCCGCAGAATATAGAACTGTGGCCAACCTTTTTTGGTGTCGGGAAGGCAACCGTATGTATCTGCGTCCATCAAGTGTGCGAAGCCATCATGAAACTTCTCCTGACTGAATACGTCAGGTTCCCCCAGGGAGACGCATTGAAGGATGTTATCAGGGGCTATGAGGAGCGTTGGGGATTTCCAAACTGTGTAGGATCTATAGATGGCAGTCACATCCCTATCATAGCTCCTAAATATTCACACGGTGACTACATGAACAGGAAAGGTTTCTATTCTCTTATCCTTCAAGGGTATGTGACCACAACCAGATGTTTACAAACATCAATATTGGCTGGCCAAGCAGAGTGCATGACGCCCGTGTCTTTGTGAACTCAGACATTTATTTCCTTGGTGATGATCGTTCTCTCTTACCAAACTGGTCGAAGAACATCGGAAATACACAGATGCCCTTGGTGCTCCTTGGTGATGCAGCATACCCCTTAAAGTCATGGTTATTGAAGCCCTACACTGGCAGAGCTAACCTCACTCCAGCTCAGAGTACCTTCAACTATCGACTCAGCCGAGCCAGGATGACGACTGAAAACGCGTTTGGTCGCTTGAAGGGACGCTGGCGGTGTTTGCAGAAGAGGATGGACGTTGACGTCGAATTTGCCTGCACGGTAATTACATGCTGTGTTGCCCTCCACAACATTTGCGAGAGTGTACGTGACCTCTACAGGGAGGATTGGGACACCGAAGAAGACGAAGAAGAAAATGACTACCAACTGGATGTACAGGATGGGGGCGACGAAGGGATCCAATGTGCGAAAGCTCTGCGTGATGAAATCGCGCTGGTTTTCTGCAACGATGTGTTTTAAAGACATTATTCATTTGTGAAGGCATTTACTTTGAGTAAAACATGTATAGTTCATATTGGTGATTATTGTAAACATTTAAACTTGTACATGCACGTGTTTCAAAATTCAAATTAAAGTATTTTGTGAAGATGTAAGCAATCCTTTCTTTTATGTCAACACACCAATACAATATTGCAACACATTGACCATAATCTCAGAGAACAATTTGACATAACGTTTTGCATTAGCTATAATACACACTTTCAATAGCCTCAAAACCAGGATCATGATTTTCGAAACGGTAAGATACGCAAACATTTGACGTTATTAGTGAATGACAAGTCATGGTTTCAACAGCATTATCCTCAAAGCTGTAAGGATAATTACGAGAGCTTTCAGTAATTATTCAAAGCTGGTAACAGAGGGTGAAAACCATGCTTTTTCTTCTTTTCGGAAAAGTGAAATGTGCACTAAATCTAAAAATCCTTTATTCATAAGAGAACATGAATTATTACAAGGCTTATATCTAGATGCTGTCTAGATTGCTCAAATGAACATTGTGATTACAGCAGCACTAAGAATATGGCTGGACAAACACCAGAACGGAAACGTCTCAAGACACACACTGGAACTAACTCGAAGGATGAAA